CTACGTTGCGGACGATATCCGCTGCCTCGGAAACGCAATAAACGTCGCCGAGCCGACGTCGTATGCGCTCGTTTGGGGGACAGTTAGGTGGCCGCTTTCCCCACGCACGGAGGAAGGCCGCTCGAAAGAAATGTGGCGCTTAAATAAGAAAGAGAAAAGAGAGAGAGAGAGAGAGAGAGAGAGAGAGAGAGAGAGAGAAAAGGTCTTCGAGAGAAGATTACCGCGCGAGCTCCGGCTCGAGCATAAGTAAGATCTCGGGATTTTATGTCGTTACCTCACACGAAGCTCGCCGACTCGAACCACCGGCCGTTAAGAGAGCTCTCCTCCTTTTGCCCCTCTTTCTTCTCTTTTACCTTGTCCCCCTTCTTAGGCGCCTCTGGACCGATCCGATCCGCATCTCCTCCGAGCGATCCTCTCCGTGGGTGGATCGGACGCGTAAACAGGTGTACCAGAGCCCTGAACATCCGGACCTCGACGCACGATGATTCATGTAAACGCGTGTACGACGTATAATCCAACGACTCGTGGTATGCGCGGCGACACCTACGTGGAATCCGATTGGACGATTGCCTCGAAATCCGGAATCCATCCGGTTTCTTTTTCGGAATTTCTGACAGAAGGTGAAAGAAGGACGCGAGTGATTTGCATCGATTACAAATTCTATCACACTTTTATAAATACTTAAAAATCGAAAAGCAGCTAGTATTTTTAAAAGGATTTTTCACAACTACATAAAGAAATATGTTCGACTTCGAATAAAGAAATCTTAAGGGTCGTGAACGAAACGACAATAAACGTGTTAAGATAATAGCGAAAAAATGTCGGCTTTGATTTTTTTCCTAACACAGTTCAGGTTTTAACAACGAGTCAATGCCTGCGGGGCCACCGATGGGAGAGGAAGCTCGTCCGCTTGTTGTCCGCCGATTGGAATTTACGAGCCTTGGACAAGGCGCGATCTTCCCAACCGAGCTGGTGGAATGAAACGCGTTTAATAGCGACGATCCGCAACGAAAGACTAGGTGCACGAGAGAGAAAGAGAGAGAGAGAGAGAAAGAGTGGATTAGATAGAATCGCGATAGTTAGGCCATTTTTAGATCTCATCCAGTCGATTATGCGGACTAGAAAACGATAATAATTATCTCTCATTTAAACGCATACATACGCATAGTATACGTGTTCGATCAGAAACATGAAAAAATGATTTTAAGAAAGGAAAGACCAAGTTTACGATCGTATGAAAGTGGCTCATCTAACTTCTCGAACCTCGATGTAAGTCGCGCTATTTTGTGTGCGTGCGTGTGTGTGTGTGTGTGTGTGTGTGTGTGTGTGAAAGAGAGAGAGAGAAAAGGAGAGATAGAGATTTCTTTCGCGATATTATCGTACCACGGTAAAATATATAAAATACGATAAAACGTATCTATATTTCCTCGGCGATGATTCTTAGCTCTTCTCGAGAAAAAGGCGGGGATATGTTCTACGAGATCGTAAAGTAAAGTCCTATTGGATCGTCACGGTGTAATCGTATCGGAGGAGTACGAGAACATTTTCGTCGTCCTCTTCCACTTCATCGGCCTCCTTCGCCTTTTCCTCCTTGTCTTAGCCGTCTTCTTCGTCGTAGGCTAGTAAAGGTTTATGACCAGGTAATTGAACACCCATGTCTTTCGAGATTCCTTCGGAGCTGATTTAACCCACCATAATATCGGAAGAGCTCATGGACAGGTATTCCCATCTATGGGGTCTTTGAAATCGCTGTGCGTGTCACGTGTGTCACCACCCTCCACAAGGACACCGCACGCTTACTTACCATCGTTTCACTCGAACGAGTTTTACAATGTTACCAACGTACGATGCCACCATACTTTGATGTGATGCTTTTCGCGAAACAGAAGGAAAAGTATAAATCGTATTGGTCGAATGTGCGAATATCTAGTGAAACGAAGGTGAAAGATACGTGGGATCGAGTCTCGTAAAATATTTCGTTTCGATCGTAAACTTTGGAGAACGATCGAAATTGCTAAGGTTCTACGTCGATAGAACGATCGAAACGATCGAAACGAGTCTAAAAGATTTTTCTTGGTTGGTATACTCGAGTCCTTTCATTTTCACGATTAATTCCGACGATCGATAATGATCGATAATAATCGATAATAATCGGCAAAATGAAACCTGTATACGCGCGCGTACGTGGCGCGTATACAGGCGGCGGCGACGGCGGCGGCGGCGTTGTATCCTCGCACATAATAATGTAGAACTCCGATTTTAATCGAAGAGGGAGATATCTGCGACTGTAAATCAATAAACGATACCTCTCGAAGAAGCTTCGGCCCATTCTTCGCCATCGGCGTCCAAGGAAAAATAAATAGCGCGACGCCTCGCGGAATCGTTCGACGGGGAGTGCGGCAGCACAACGAGAGTAATATACCTCGTGTACCGGACTTTTCTCTGGCGTTTCTCTCTCTCTCTCTCTCTCTCTCTCGCGAACGTATAAAAGAAAAAGAGAAGAGATGCGTGGAGAGAAGAGGAGAGGAGAGGAAAGGAGAGGAGCGCGACCGACCGGTCGTTACTTAGTAGCTTATTTATTTTTGCATAGATAATCCGCGGGAGATACGAAGGGAGATGTGGGTGGAGCCGCGCCGTGCTTGAGTCACGTGTGATTAAGCGATGTTATCCACGGTTCTCGGTGCCGTCGCACCTGTATGCTCGAAACGCCTACGTCGTACCTCTTCGACTCCTTTTCTTCTCTCTCTCTCTCTCTCTCTCCTTCCTTCTCCTTTTTTATTCCGCGCCTTCTTATCCCCTCGCGGAGGGAGCGAGCGAGTACGGGATCGAGGACCCCGAGGATTGTCCTTTGTTCGCGTTAAAAAGAAAAAGCACATAGGTACGTAAGTACGTATGTATGCACGTACGGCACAAATCGGACCATAAATAACGTCGAACGTTCGAGCCGCAACGTATGCAGATATTATATATATATATATATATATATATATATATATATATATTTGTATATATATACACATACATATATATATATATATGCATATATTTATAGTTAATTAAGAGAGAGAGTAAATACGCGGATAGATAGAAAATGCGATGTCTGATTCGAAGACTAACGCCACCAAGCTAAGGGTTGAAAGACTAACGAGACGCTTATAATATAAAATAATAATAGAAAGTTGTGAGACAACAAAGTATTATAGTATCGGTCAAGCGTGCACCGAGCGGCGCTTTCTAGTCGGCCGGCGATAACGCTCAACATTCTTCGTTGTTTAAAATAAGCAAACTAGAGAGTTATGCGAAGTGAAACGAATCGCGACGACGACGACGACGACGACGACGAGGACGACGACAAGCAAAGACGGTGTATATCGGAAGAACAATAACGGTAAATTATCTGATAATGGAATCTGAAAAAATTCCGAAAGCCGGCAGCGCGGTGGGTCGAACAGCTCGTACAGCACACCTGTCGTTGCACAATTTCTCTCACAATCGAGAAGCGAGAGAGTTCAGCTCTCGCTCTCGTTTGCGCGAAACGCGTATCGGACACGCGCGCCTTTAATTCGCGAGCGAAAAATGACTAGCGGCAGCGCGTTGCACGCCACGGACTCGTGTCGGGACGTATTTATAATTGCGCGTTCCTTCCTAACCGATCTATAGCGGCTCCATACAGAGAGAACAAGTGAAGGAAGAAGGGGACACCGCAGCGTGAGTCAGCGGCCGCTTTCCTTTGCTTTATGGAACCTTTTCTCTCTCTATCTCTCTCTCTCTCTGTCTGTCTCTCTTGCGACTGTTCTCGTGACAGAATAAAACGAACGAGGATTAACATCAGCTTCAACGAGAATTACCGAATTAATTACTCTATTCGCGAGCTATTAAGTAACATTCAACTTTACGATATTATCATTTACGTTTCACTTTTAAAGCAACATCAACTTTTTCGGAAATAATTTCGATGATGAAATTAAGAGAAAGTCTCGTCGTAGATGGATTAAAAAGAGAGACTAAGAGCGGGAGAAAGAGAGAGAGAGAAGGATAAGATAGATAGAAGAAGAACCGAAGCCGTCAAAGAGTCGTGGTGGTCGTATCGGGTGATTCAGTAGCTTCTTACCAAAGCGGTTACCGGGCGACTTACCGAAGCGAGTAATGCAGTACCCGTGTACCAACGTCGATACGCTTCCGATGGAGAAGAAGGGTGAAAGAGAAAGACAGACAGAAGGGGGTGTCTCAACTCGCCGTCGCTCGGCTTATAATCGCCGTTCAATAAGAAAACCGCTATCTCCTGCCGCTCCTCTAGTCGATATCGGAAAGCAGCTGGTGTGTCCGAGATCGCTCCACCGATCGTCTCTCTCTCTCTCTCTCTCTCTCTCTCTCTCTCTCTCTCTCTCTCTTTCTTTCTTTCTTTCTTGACGGCGGTACTTTTGACAAACACCGACACGCATACGCTCGTAGTAGACTCCTCTAACGCCGCTTCGACCATAGATCGACTAACGATTACTTCGCGTGATTTAAATCTGTGCTAACCGGTCGACGTGCAGATTTTTTTTCTTTTTTCTACCTTCAAGAATATGATCGACGACTTTTCAATCAACTATTTAGAAAAATTTTGAACAAAAGCTAAGTACATTTCTATCGATCAATCATCGTCACTTCGAAACTTCATTTCATTCGATAAGAACGGAGAACGGAGTTGTTGCTTGAACAAGTAAAAACTGTATTTGCATGAAGGATAAAAATATCAAAGAGTTCCTTTCTTTGATTTCACTTTTTACAAAGTAAAAATATAATAAAAGGAGAAATATTAATAGCGTCCACGCGTTTGGACAGCAGAAATGAAGATATCAATTTATGAACTGTCGGTATGGAAAACGGATAGGTACGCACGCGGAGAAAGAAAGAAAGAGAAAGAGAGAGAAAGAGAGAAAGAGAGAGAGAGAGAGAGAGAGAGAAAGAGAGAGAAAGAGAGAATGTACGCGTATAAGGTAAAAGGATCGAAGTAC